GAGGATGAGGACTTCCTGCTCTACAACATGCTGGACAACATGAGCCCGCCCACCTGTGACATCAGTACGGAGGGAGGACTGCAGGTTGCACACACCTGTGAGGTGACACAACTGAAACACACACACACACAGACACGCACACACACACACACACACACACAGTTGGATGTGTGAAACATCTGTGTCGCTTCTCCTCATTAGGTCAGTACGCTGTTTGAGGAGGAAGAAGAGGGGGAGGAGAAGGAGGAGGAGGGGGGGGGCTCCATCTTCCGTCTGCAGGGGGGCTCAGTGGATCTTTCTTGTCCCATCAACCCCCCCGCCACCAAGGAGGAGATGGCTCAGTCTGCTCACCTCATGACTCTCGGACTCTGTCGCATCTCAGCCGCCAGACATCCTCCCCCTCCTTCCCCCACCCAACCCCTTCCTCCCCCCGAACGCCCCCCCCATGTGTCCCAGGCCAACAGGAAGCGGTGCAAGACAAACAGTCGACAGATGAGGACTCCGCTGCCATGTCTCCTTTGTCCTGTGATGCTTTCGTCCAGGCGGCTGCTGGACGTCCACGTCCAGTCCCACCGAGCAGCCGGTGGCTTCAGCTGCGTCCGCTGCAGCTGGATGGCCAACAGCTGGGATGACCTAGAACCTCATTGGACAAGCCATTGCAGTAGGAAAAGGAGGAAGGAAGAGGCGGAGGGGGAGAAAGAGGCGGAGGGGGAGAAAGAGGCGGCGGCGGAGGCAGCATTGAGTTGTCCTGTCTCTCTGAGGACGTTCAGGAATGTTGCATCACAAAACAGTAGTCCCCACAGTAACAGCTCAGGTCAGTTTGTCTTCAACTGCAGCTTCTGATGATCTATCAATAATCAGTCATCAATATTAAAATGGTCAGTAATCAATAACTTGTTGATTCTTGCAGGCAGATGGAAGAGCCAGCTGATTGGACAAGCAGGAGGGGAGGAGGCGGAGCTTACAGACAGGTGGATGACCGAGGAACTGTCATACAGTTTTAAAAACTTTATTGACATTGTTCTGATGACCCTTCCTGAGTTATCGCTAAAATAAACATAAACATTTTCATGTGTGGGGATGATGGTCATTGATTTGAGGTACATGAAGCTACAGTGTAGATTTGGGGGGCGGCAATCAGCTGACAGTAGATCCATGTCCCTGACTTCATCTGTGTCAGAGTGTGACATGTTCAGTGGACATTACTGTCACTGGTTCTTCGATTCTCCTGGAGTTCCTTCACCGTGTGACTGTCTGAAATGGACAAATCGTTTACTTCAGTATCAAAATCATCTAATGTCAAAATGTTTCGTTAACATTAAGATGTTTGTGCGACACAGACAGACACCTGGCAGCCAATCAGACACCAACCTAAGTGTGATGGTTCCTGGTCTGACTGGTAGGCGACAGCCTGGCTCACTGCAGAGCACCACCAGTACCACCAACAACAACAAGAAGAAGACCAGGAGAAAGAAAAAGAAAGAAAAAGATAAAGAGGAGGCTACGGAGACGGGTTTCTGCTGCTCACTATGTCACAGGTTACTACTACATTACTCACAATCCGTCAGCCCACACATCAGAAAGCCTGCTTCTCCTCTGTGGTGTATTTACAAAGATGCATAATGAGTAATATAAACACAAGGCAAGTTTATGCTAAGATTTAAGTGGACAGCGACTGCCTGAAACAACAGAGATTTAATGAGATAAACGAAATGTGAATGGCGAGTCCATGTATTTCCAGAGAGGATTCGAAGCAGAGCGTGTGGTGTGGCGTGACACGTGCTGAGTTGGTTTCAGAGTCCAAACAGAGTTGAGATAAATCCTGCGATGAATGGACAGAGATTGAGCATAAGGCAAAAGGCACCATGACAAATTGCAAAAGCAACAAAAGACTACAAAAAGAAGCATTGAAAAATAAATCAAGTGTTAAAAAGGAGTTAAATACAGAATAAATGATTGGATAGATAAAATAAGAAATCAAAGAGTGGAAATAACAGTGCAGTTTTAGAAATGAGTAATTGTATAAGGCTGTGGCAAACAGCAACATTTTTAGCATTGATTTAAAAGAACTAAGATTTTCAGCTGACCTTCAATTCTCTGGGAGCTTGATGCACAAACGTGGAGCATAGAAACTGAACGCTGCTTCTCCATGTTTAATTTTGACTCTGGGGACAGAGAGCAGATCAGGTCCAGATGACCTGAGGGGTCTGGATGGTTCAAAATGTAGAAATCATCCAAACTATTTAGTTGGTACCTGGAGTGATATCATCCAGTTTCTTGATGTTAGCAAGGACTGGAGAGGCAGCATTTTTAATTACCTGTGAGACCTTTGAACACATGATCACCATTAATACTTAAGTTGGCTATTGCATAGCTATTGCATGGACATTTTTTTCTAAATCATAGACATAAATACTTTAATACTTGATATTTTCTAAAAGGGATAGTTCACTAAAAAATGAAAATTCCCTAATTATCTACTCACCACTATGATGGAGTTTCAGGGGTAAAGAATGTTAGAGCATAATCCAAAACCAGAGTGGAGGGTCATCACACAGCAGCTCTGCACGAAGCAATGTTCTGTTGCTTAAGCTCATTACTTTGACATTGGTTGTGCTCTCAGTCGAGGGCGTAAACCTGACCAGTGTGATGCTGCCGCTGTCTCTCCCACTGCCGTCTCTGCCGCCTCCTGGGTCAGCTGATAGTCCACAGCGATCCCACTGGTCTAACTCTCCAGTTTATTGTGACGTTGACTAAAGACACTAATAAGCGAAAACAAAAACACACAAAATAAAAAAGAATAGCTGCTAGTGTTAATCCAGGTGTGTCACCTGTTTTCTGTGATTGGTAATTTCTTCTGTGATGTGTTTCCTCTACAGGAAGTTCTCCTCTAAACTGACTCTGAGGCGTCACCTGGGAGTCCACGGAGGAGAGAGACCATTCACCTGTCCACAATGTTCATACAGCAGCCGACTGAGGGCCTCGCTGCTGCAACACCTGAGGACGCACACAGGTAACACACGCCTGAACACACAGGTAACACAAACACTAGCACACAGGTCACACATGCCTGAGCACAGGTAACACACACCTGAGCACACAGGTAATACATGCCTGAGCACACAGGTAACACACGCCTGAGCACACAGGTAAAAAAAACACGAGGACTCAGGTACCACACGTCTACTAGACACCTGGGGGCAGTAATTTGATGACTGTGTGTTCTGTATTGTCAGGTGAGAAGCCGCACAGGTGTGGTCAGTGTCCGTACGCCTCAATCGATCGCAGCTCTCTGATCAGACACAGTCGAACTCACAGTCAAGAGAAACCCCACAGATGTACACACTGTGACTACAGCAGGTAACACACACTGTGGTTGCCACAGCGATGATTTTTAGGTTGGCCCATGATTACCATAGTAACTGGTTGTGTTTTTCTCAGCATCCAGAAGAAGAGTTTGGACCTCCACGCCCGTCGTCACCACACAGGTGAGGCATTTCCATGCGGAGAGTGTGTATACTCAAGCCCGGACCGTCAACTCCTGCTCAGACATGTTCGCAGACACCATGCCCCCTTGCAGCACGCTGCTCTGTGAATTCCAAGCGCTCTGATTGGACTGTTAGCTTGTGAGCGGAACTACACTGATGATGTCACAGTCAGACTTTAACAAAGTTTTTATTGATAACGAAAATAAAATGTAAAAAATGAATCAGTGTGTGAGTGAGTCAGTGTCTAGAGTGACTCATGTTATAACTCATCCCGGCTGCAGACGCCCGGCGTTCACACTATGATGATGATGTGACAGCGTGGGCGGAACCCCGTCATCCTGCTGAGTTTTAGGAAGTGGATTATCACGTGGTGGGATGACCCCTGTTATCTCTATCAGCCGACATCCAGCCGACATTCAACCAACATCCAGC